GGAGCTTTGGGCTGGGAGTGTGTACAGGTGGGACACACTCAGGAGGGTGATCTCAGTGTCACCAGGGGAAGAGCATCACTGGGTGGGAACAGGGGACACACACACATGGCTCTCTCCAGAGCCTTTCCATGGGCAGGTCCCTCTTTCTTCTCCAGAAATGAGATTGTTTGAAGGAAAAGGAGCTCCTGATGTGCTGGGGAGGCAGTGGCAGAGAGCACTGAGCTGAGTCTGGAGGACATGAGGCTCCTGGGCTGATGCAGATGCTACAGAGCAGTTTTGGGGTGTTTGTGTGCAGAGCAGTGACAAAACCAGTAATCAATGGGTCCCATGGGATAGGAACCATCTCCCACTCCCAGCTGGGAGGCAGTGGGTGCTGGTTGTGTTTTGGGGAGCAGGTTCTTGTGCAAAGCAGGCACAAGGTGCTCCTGAATCTCAGCAGCAGGAGCTGCACTTGGTCTCTCTGCAGCTTAAATGAGCAGTAAGGTTACTAAAGCGACTTGGAAGTGATGGGAGAAGCAGAGAGAGCCTGGGGTGCTTCACACCTGGTTGTAGCAGCTTCTCCTCTGTGCAAAGCTGGAGTGAGAATCAGCAATTTAAAGCCTCCCAACAGGCTTTTTTGCTAGAGGTGGCAACGTGTGCAGGTAATTAATTGTGTTTGCAGAGCTGGGCAAAGAATCCCTTAGCTGGTGGGGAAGGACTGAGTCCCCAGTCAGTGTGAGGAGTTCTGGCAAACAAAGGTCTGTGGTCACTTGAGCCTCCAGAGGCTCAGCCTGGTGTGTTTGTCAAGCTCTGAAAGAAAAATATGGAGGAAATCCTGGCAGATTCTCCAAATCATGGAGAATTGGAGCTTCTCTTTTAGTTTCCCTTTGGAAATATCTGCTGTAGGATCAGATGCAAATTCCCTACCAAGAGCCTCCCAGAGCCCTTGAGAATTCCAGAACTGAGGTTCTGATTTCTCATCTGTTATGATACAAAAAATGCTTTATCCACGTAGTGTCCAAAGGAGATGAGCTTGACTTTGTCTCAAGCTCTTCCATCACCTCAGCCTTAATCCAGGAGCTTTGACTCCTTCCAAAGTGTTCAGTGGAAAATCCTGGCATGGGGTTTCCATGCCCTTGGGTGCTAGGAGAGGAGAATGGAAAGGCTCAAGGGAGGGATATACACCCAAGCATTTCCCTGTGGGGAGGTTCTATGGTGTATCCAACTTCAGGCAGCATTTGAGCATCTCCTGGGTCTCCTAACCCCCTTGCAAGGACACTGTGTGTGGCTCAGGGCAATGAGTAGCCAACAGAGCCTCTCACTCTGCTGGGCAGAAGGTGCAGGAATGTGGCTGTGCCACAGCCAGGGGCAGTCAGGGTGTTCTCAGACACCAAGGGATGCTTTGGGCTACTGGAGTGAACTGGGCAGGGCTGACCCTCCCAGAGAGGTGGTGAGAACCTTCCTCCAGTGCAGGGTGTCCATACACAAGAGCAGCATCTTAGGGAGGAGCTGCAACACAATCTACTCTGATTACCTTGTAATTAAGAGGTTTTACAGCAAGTTATGCTTTTAGAGACTAATTGGTATCATTGGCTTGATTTGCTCATCTTCACTCTGCCTTTCTCCATCATTCCACTGCTGCCCAGCTGTGTCCAGCCCCTGGCTATGTCCAACCTCTGGCTGTGTCCAACCTCTGCTTTATGCTGGGAAAAAGCAGCTGGAATGGTTCCTTTTTAGTTAAGAAACAGAGAAAAAACTACTTTCTCCTCCAAACTGAACTGAGAGGAGATCTCACAGCTGTCTGCAGTTCCTCAGGGAAAGCAGAAGGACAGCACCAATCTCTGCTCTTCTGGCACAGTGACAGGACCCCAAGGAAAGGGTGGAGCTCTGTCAGGGGAGGGTTGGGTTGGACATTTGGAAGAGATTTTTAGGGAGAGAGTGCTCAGGCATTGGAATGTGCTGCCCAGGGAGGTGGTGGATTCACCATCCCTGGAGGTTTTTAGGCTGAGACTGGATGTGGCACTTAGTGCCATGGTCTAGTGACCACGGTAGGGTTGGACTCGATGATCTTTGAGGTCTTTTCCAACCTGGTTGATTCTGTGATTCTATGATTCTTTTCCTGCCCTTTCTGGCTGTGTTTGTCCTGGCAGGAGCTGTGCTCAGAGTGCTTTCTTCCCCTGCCTCTTGCCTGTTGTCCCTGTGCCTGGGGAGGTGGTTGTGCCTCCTGCCCTGCCTGTCTCCCCAGCTTTGTGCCCTGGATCTGCTCATGGTCTTTTGTTTATTGCAGAGAAACCCCATAACGAAACGTCCCTAGGAATTTCCCCTGCCATGTACAGTGGTGAGTCAACCTTGGCTTCTGGAGACCTTCAGTTTAACCCCTTCCTGCCTAACCCAACTGACTCCCTCCCTAACCAGGGCTGTGCCCAGCACCCCCTGTCCCTCTCGTGGGTTAGGGCCTCAACTCCACCCCAGATCATTGACACACACTGAGCCAAAGAGCCACAAACCCCTCCAAGTTTGGATGCTGTGACATGAGGGAGGTTTAAGCTCGTTAAGTGGATCTGCAGAGCACAGCTTGAGAGGTGTTTGGGTTAATAGGATGTGGCCCACGTGGCTCAGCCAGCCCAGGGTGCTCTTGTGTCTTGTCCTCAGCAAAGGCTCATGATTTAAAGATCACACTCCCCATCCCTCCTTTCTCTGTCCTCAGAAACAGCTTCTCCAGGGAGAGCATCTCCTCTGCGTGTGGCTGAATACAGGCAGGGGCTGGGAGAGGGCAAAAAGTGGGACCAAACCTGCTGGTTTGGTCTTGTGCAGCAGTTGAATATGTGTTAGATGTTTCCTCCAGGCTCCTGCCCTTTGCCTAGGCAGCAATTCCCTCTGGACTTGCCTCTGCTGGGAGAAACCCATCCCAGGCTCATGAATTATGCTCTAGACACAAAACTGTGTGGCTCCCTGGGGCAGGATCACTGCCCTGGGAAGGCATTGGGATTGTCAGGGTGTGATGGGGTAATGTGGGCAGAGCAGGCAGCAGTGGGGGCTGGTAGGGAGTTTGGAGATGGGGCTGGGTGGGAGATGGAGAGCACAGCCAGCACCAGGGATGGGAACATCCCACCAGAGTCTGAGCAGCCTTAGATCAGTGTTATCATGGGCAGGATTTCAGCAGTGAGGGTTGGTAGGGAGGAGAAGATGCAGCTGGTTGAGTGATGCTGAGCACAGACAGCACCAGAGATGTGAACATCCCACCAGAGAGCACCACAGAGTCTGAGTGCCCCAGCTCAGGTGTTATCATGGGCAGGATTCAATTCCTGCCCCTCTTGCTGCTTTTGGGGTCAGGGCTGTGTGACAGCAGGTTGGGGTCAACCCCAGTGATGCTTCACAATGTACCCAAGAGTGAAATCCTTTAGCTTCCCTCTGGAGACACAACTTCCTTCTTGCCTGGCAAAACCCAGGGCACATTTTCTTCTGCCACAGGGACTTTTGGGGACAAGGAGTTCCTCTGCCAGCTGAGAGCAGAGAGAGCTGCAGTGTGAGAAGAGGAGGATGTGCCAGGGGAGGGCACTGGGGTCAGTGTCCCAGGAGACAGCCCTTCCCTGCCCAGGGAACTGGGATGTTGGCAGCAGGACTGGGAGGTTTCTGAGGATACTGGGGGGCTGGGGGAAGGCTCTGCAGGGAACCAGCAGCAAATGGGCTTGGCAGAGCCTGAAAATCCTTGTGGAAATGGCTGGGAAAAAAGGGATTGTCAGCAAAATCAACTGCAATGGGAACTGCAGGAACTCTGCATCATGCCTCAAGGAGAGGAGGGAGAGGAGATGTGTCTCCTGCAGGCACAGACAGAAAGGGATCCAGGGCCAGTGGTGCTCCTGGACTTCTCCAGCTCCCACTGCATGTCTTGGTTGAGGGGAAAAGATGCTAACAGTCCCTCAGTTAGGAAAATGAGATCTTAGCTGCACAACCCCAAAGATTTCTGTTCCTATTCCATCTCTGTTTCAGAGCTGCACAGGATAAACTTCCTGCTCTGTGCACTGTAAGAACTATTTGCACTCAACATCCCCTGGAACACTTTGTGACTCCAGTGGGTTCCAACCACCCACTCACACCCTGTGCAAATCTGAGCTCCATCCCAGCACTTAATGAACTTTGTAGTTAATGAGCTGGTGAAACAATCCTTATCCTCATCCCTTTTCCTTGCTGCTAACCCTGTGTTTCCCTCTGGAATGACCTCTCTGGCCATGCTGGTAACTGGAACCAGCTGCAGCAAGCAAGGAGTGTTTGGGATGGGGAGAGGGACGTGAGTTTCCCTATTTTAGGGCATTGGAGGACTTGAGGCTCTTGGCTCCTCTGCCTTGGGGTGCTGATCCCTAGGGTATAGACTCAGCCCCAGAACCAGGAGGCAAAGGATTCTGCAGAGGCTTCAAGTCCTGCTCCTGGGATGTTCCCAAACTCATCCTGGGGACGTGGGATCAGCTGGGATTGATGTGGGCCACAAGAGTTTGTGGGACACCTGCACCAAACTGCTCTCCAGGGCCAAACTAAGCCCAGGAGATGCCACCCAACCCTTCTCCCCATGGCTCAGAGCTGCAAAGCTGAGTTGTGCAGGCAAAGTGGCTGCAATTAGCAAGGCAAACTGATCTCAAATTGAATATTTCATTAGCAGAAGTTTCTCACCTTTTTTTTGTTGTAGTTGTTTTCATGGAAATGAAGTCTGGTTTGTCCTTTTTCTCTGTCTCCTTGGCAAAGCTGGGGGATGATTGGAGCTGGCTGTGCAGGGGCTGAGCAGATGGGATGTGTCTGGGTGTGCACATCCTTAGGAATGGGAGCTGATATACAACTGGTAGATGCTGCTGGGGGAGGGAGGAGGCAGTTGGCTGCTCCAGGGTGAGGAGTGGTTGTTTCTGGGCTCCAGTTTCACAGAGATAAGGCCCAGAGCAGTGACAGCTTGGAAGCAAAGTCTATTTTGGAGCTGAAATGAATAGCCATGGGATTTATTTTTCCAGTGCTGCTCCATCCAAAGGGATGAGTTTAGTGTTGCTGTATGGCTGAGAGCTTCCAGCTGTATCTTCCACACACTCAGAGCCAGAGCAGAACCTCTTCCTGGGAGATTTCTGGCTGCTCCCTCTTAGAAACAGCAAAATATTTGTTAGTAGTGCTGAACTAAGGCAAAAAAAACCCTTATCAACTCTGCAGTGTGGTTGTTAGGTTAATAAAGCAAGTGGTTAGGATACTAATTTATCTCCCTTATTTTTAATTCCCATCATTAATAAATGGCTCATAAAACGTGGCTTGCACTGCTGCTTGGCAATTCTAGGTCTGCCATGGCTCCTGAGCTAAGGGGTCTGGAGTGGGAGTGAATCCTGCAGCCTGGGGGCTAACAAAGGCCAATAGTGGCTGATAAAACTTCCCTAATGAGATGGGAGAAGCTCAGGAGTCTGACTGAAGGTTTGGGAACTGGGATAACTCTGGCTCTAAGCACAGCCACTGTGTCCCCACTGAGCCCTGGGCTGGGCAGGGAGGGTTGGCCAGGAATGAGACCCTCTCCAGGAGGAGGGATGGACACTCCAGGCTCTGCCTGCCTGGAGAACTCCAGGATAAAGCCAAGAGATTCCTGCCCTGGTAATCCATTAATCAAATAATTGACTAACCTGCCGTGGCCCCACGTGGTGACTGTGGCTCTGGGGGACTGGGGGGATGTGTGGAGTGGTCTCCAAGACATGGGTTGGGTTTTCCTTGCCTGGTTCCAAGTTTTCCCTAAGACAGGCTGCTGGGAATCCCAGAAACAGTCCCTCCTGCCCTCTCTCCCTTCCTTATTCCCCTGCCATAGCTTCCCAAATAGACAAGGGCATCCCCCAGCCCCTCGTGGCACTGGGCACACTTGGCTGCCTCCACTTGCTGAGCCAGTGAAGCTTTGGGGCAGCAGGAGAAGCTTGGGCTGCTCCCAAGATCCTGTTCCTTCCCTGGGGTGTCTCTCCCCACTGCTCCCTCTGGTTGTAGTGTCCCTGTGCCAGCCCTGCCCATTCCATCCCCTCTCCTAATCTCATAACTTCCATCTCTGCTACTGCTGCTTCCAAGCCCATCTCATCCTGGTTTGTCCTCACTCATCCAGATCTAGGTCAATAATTCCACTTATTGATGGAATTTATTCCATCCATAATTCATTTCCTCCCTGCAAAGAGACTTCACTCTCTGTGTATCTGTAGTGAGTTGTCTTGTGTCTTGCCCTGGTTTGCTCCTGTTAAACCTTCCTGTCCTGAAATGTGTCACTTTACTGGCTGAGTTGTTCCTTTGCAAAGGGAATTATCCTTCCAGGACCCTGGGAAGGCTGGAAAACCTCCTTGGTGCTACTGGAGCCCCAGACAGCACCAGGATGCTCCACACCCTGGAGATCTCTGGCAAAGCAGCTCAGTTGTCTGAGCAAATCCTTCCTGTGCCCCTCTGTTCCTCATGTCCTTTGTTATGTGTTATTCCCATCAGTATTTCCAAGTTTCATCTGATTTCAGCCCATCTCCTTGTGCCAGGGGCAGGATGGGCAGGACAGGCACTGCCCCAGTGGGAGCTGATGATGTGGGAACTCTTCCCATGGCTCATCTCCCTCTGTCCATCCTCTGCTGCTCCTTTCCCTCCCTGCCTACCAAACATCCTCTATCCACCTTTCTAGTTTGGAATTCAAGCTGTATTTTGAGCCCTTCTCTCCTTTCCAGGTGCATTTCTTGGGTGAGTTCAGTATCCCAGACTGACCAGGGAGGTGACACGTTCCACGGATTCCTGGCACGAAGGAGAGTTAAAAGCACTTTGTGTTTTGTTTCTTTGTTTTTGTTCTCTTTCTCTCCTGCTGATTCCAGCCCGAGGCATCACGGAAACCACTCCCAGCTTCATGTACCCCTATGGGACCTCGAGCAGTCAGATGGTGCTCCGAGGGGTGGATCTGCTGCTGGAGTGCATTGCTTCTGGAGTGTATGTACTGGGCAGAGGGGCAGAGGGTGGGCTCCATCCCAGAGGGATGGCCTGGGACCAACGAGCTGAATCCCCAGTGCAAACAGCCTTGGGAATAGCTCTGGCTAGGAGAAGAGATTGTTCTCTCCCTCCCTTTTAACTCCTGGTAATGATACTCTCACAACCTGCTCGAAGCTGTAGAACATGGAGCTACCAGGAGAGCTCATTTGGCATTACTGTTAGGAGAAGGAGATGTCTTTGGTTGCTCATGGTCCAAGGATAATTCCCTGTTGCTTTGTCCCTAGAGCTATCTGTGAATCTCCTGGGAGCTCCTCACCACACTGTGTCAGCTGTGGGTGAGGACAGTTGTGGTCCATGTGCCCCCAGAAGCATCCTGGGCTCAAAGTCCTGCACACCCTCCCATAACCATCCTGTGCTGGTCTGCCCATGGCAGGGGGTTGGAATGAGATAGTCTTTAAGGTCCTTTTCAACCCAAACCACTCCAGGATTCTGTGGTTCTCCATCCCCAAGTATGAGCCATGAGCTGGACTTTAATCCTGATCACCTAGTGGTGCTCAGGGTCCTGGTTTAGGGGTGGTGGTAGGAAGGAGGGTTGGATCATTCCTTCTCCTTGAGTTCCCAGGATTATCAATTGTTTTCTTGGGTGTCGTTTTCTTGTCTTGCAAAATCATTTACCTCCTCCCCTGTCCTTAGACCAGCACCAGACATCATGTGGTACAAGAAAGGAGGAGAACTCCCAGTGGGGAAAACCAAACTGGAAAACTTTAACAAGGCTCTTCGCATCTCCAACGTGTCCGAGGAAGACTCTGGGGAGTATTTCTGCTTGGCCTCCAACAAGATGGGCAGCATCCGCCACACGATCTCGGTGAGAGTGAAGGGTACGTCACCTTTACCTTGCCATCTTGGGGACCTTCACCCTCAGCCTCTCAGGGGGCTGAAAGGGGCAGTGAGGGCTCTCTCTAGGGGTGCCTCTGCTGTGTCCAGCCATTCCTTGCTTCTCCATTGGGTCATGGAATGGGTTGGGTTGGAAGGGACTTAGAGTTGATCTCATTCCACCCCCTGCCATGGGCAGGGGCACCTTCTACCAGCCCAGGGTGCTCCAAATCTTGTCCAGCTTGGCCTGGAATACTCCCAGGGATGGAGCAGCCACAGCTTCTCTGTCCAACCTGTGCCAGTGTCTCAGCACCTCACGGGGAGGAATTTCTTACTAATATCCAATCTAAACCTTCTCCCATCCAGTTTAAAGCCAAGTGGTCCCAGCTGAGCTAAAAGTAGTGAGATATGCTCTCAGCTGGTGTATCTCAGCAGAGATTCACTGGTAGAAACAATTGTCATTCTGTGTGGCCAGGGATAGGGGAAGAGGCTTCCTCAGCCTCACTGCACCCAGAGAAACCCACTGGAGAGGACACCTCATTGCCTTCCTTCACCTGGGAGCAGTGGAGGGAGGGTGTTGGAGGAGGAGGTGCTGCTGCCTATATAACCAGTGCATTGGTGTGTTTTCCAGCTGCTCCCTACTGGCTGGATGAACCTGAGAACCTCATTCTGTCCCCTGGTGAGGATGGCAGGTTGGTGTGCCGAGCCAACGGGAACCCCAAGCCCACGATACAGTGGCTGGTGAATGGTGAACCTATAGAAGGTGAGTGAAGGAAACTCTGCACCTCCTTTCCAACAAACCCAGCCAATGGTTGACCATGAGCCAGAGCTGCTGTTGGCCTCCAACATCACAGCCACATGAACCACCTGCTGTCTGAGATGAGGCCAACTGAGCCACGAGCTCATCACGTCCCATCGCCTGGTTTTGCCTGGGCTGAGATGGAAAGGATGTGCGATGATGTTGCCTGGTGGATTTTACTGTCAAATGGGATTGAGAGGGTTCTCTCTGTTCTGAAGCTGCTCCCCCCAACCCGAGTCGGGAGGTGGCAGGAGACACCATCGTGTTCCGGGACACGCAGACCGGCAGCAGCGCCGTGTACCAGTGCAACGCGTCCAACGAGCACGGCTACCTGCTGGCCAACGCCTTCGTCAGCGTCCTGGGTGAGTCCCTGGGGCAGCAACACCCCACACTTGGGTTTTGTACAACACAAGGATGCTTTGGGTTGGAAGGATCTTGCTCCACCCCCTGCCATGGTCAGGGCATCTTCCACCAGCCCAGGTTGCTCTAAGTCCCATCCAACCTGGCCCTCAACACTTCCAGGGATGGAGCAGGAGAGTCAAACTGGGTCATGGTAGGGATTTGAATGGAAAAGGAGGTTATAAACACTGTGGAGGAGAGACAAGAGGCAGGAAAGGGGCTGGAATCTGTATCTGTGTCAGGAAAGGTTTATTATGGTGCAGCCACAGCTACAGGGAGAGTTCCAAAGATGCACTTGCTGTTTGAGCAGCAGTGGCTTACAACAAAGAGCCAAACACAGGAGTGTGACCATTCCAACAGCACTGGGACACATGGGAATGGATCATGGGATGGTTTGGGTTGGGAGGAACATTAAAGCTCATCCCATCTCACCCCTGCCATGATCAGGACACCTTCCACCAGCCCACGTGGCTCCAAGCCCCATCCAACCTGGTCTGGAACACTCCCAGGGATGGAGCAGCCACAGCTTCTCTAGGCAACCTGTGCCAGTGCCTCAGCACCTCACAGGATGAATTTCTTTCTAACATCTAATCTGAATGTCTCCTCTTTCAGTTTAAAACCATTTCCCCTTATCCTATCACCACTAGCCCATGGAAAAAGTCATTCTCCCTTTGTTTTATAAGCTCCCTTTTCCCTGCAGAAATTCTCCATTAGCTTTCCTCTGTGTTGTTAGCTCCTCTGAGGGAATGCACAAAGGAACATGACCTTTGCAACTTGGCTTTGGAGCAGAACTCCATTGCCATGGGCAAGGCTGAGGAGTGCTAAGACATGAGCTGAGTCATGTAGTGAGGCTCAAAGAGGAGAGGGAATGGAGAAGCTCTATGGAGTTTTGAAGGTGCCAGTAGGAAAAGTGAAGAAAAGAGACAGGAAGGTGGTTGAAGAGGCTGGAAAGGAGCAGCAGAACCAGGACACTGTTTTCTCCTCTTTCTCCATGGCTGTGCTCTCTGCTGCCTGCAGATGTGTCCCCACGGATCCTGGCACCTCGCAACCAACACATCAAGGTGATCCAGAACAACAGGACCCGACTGGACTGTCCCTTCTTCGGCTCCCCCATCCCCACCCTGCGATGGTAAGAGCTGCAGCACATCCCTGCCAGGCTGAGGGCTGGGAAGGGGGAGGTTCCCTGCTCTTTCTGCCCTTACAATAGCACTTTGTGGTGTTGTGAGGTTTAAGAATGGCCAAGGGAACACTCTGGATGGAGGAAACTACAAAGCCCACGAGAATGGGAGCTTGGAGATGAACATGGCTCGGAAGGAGGACCAAGGCATCTACACCTGTGTGGCCACCAACATCCTGGGGAAGGCAGAGGCTCAGGTCCGCCTGGAGGTCAAAGGTAGGAGCACAAAGGTCCAAAGGGTCTCTTGGATCTTCTGAAACCTGCAGCAGGAACGAGACTTCAGGTGAAGGGGGTTGGTGTGTGTCCCAGTCTGTCAGCAGAGCAGGCACTGAGCAGTTCAGAGCTGGAACCCTGCAAATGGTAGAGATTCCAGCTAAATGCTGGAAAAAACCAAGGCTGTGGCTGTACTTTAGCCATAGAAGTGCTTGGGGTGGGCACTGAGCTGTGAGATGCCATCAGCAACGCAAACAGAAAGGCAAAGTGTCCCTCAGGGTTAACTGAGGACAAGAAAACACTTTGTGAGTTCAGTTTCCACCAGGACTGTCCCTGGTCAGCAGATCTGGTTGCTGCCTCAGGAACTGGGTTGGTTTGTAAAGGATCAGCATCAATTAGTGGCCCTTAAATCACTTTGTTTGCCAGCAGCACTTGTATCAGCCTCACTTCACTACAGCCAAGTGGGCAAACACTCGGTGCCTGTGCTCATCCTGTCCAAGTAACTCCTCTCTCCATCGAGTTCCTGAGCCAGACCCAGGAATTTGGTGCCCAACCCTTTGTTTCTGACCCTCCACAGACCCGACAAGGATTGTGAGAGGCCCAGAGGACCAGGTGGTGAAGAGAGGCTCCACACCTCGTCTGCACTGCCGCGTCAAGCACGACCCCACGCTGAAGCTCACGGTCACCTGGCTGAAGGATGATGCTCCTCTCTCCTATGCCAGCAGGTCTGTGCTTAAAGCTTTCATGGCTCTTCTCTCCTGGCATTGTTGGATCTGTTACAGTATGTTTCAGGAGTCACCAGGGATGTCTAAAAGTTTTTCACGGGTTTTTCTCTCTTGGGATTGTTGGACTTGTTTTCAGGAGTCACTTGGAATAACATGTTGAGTGTTGAGTTCCCATCTAAGGAGTGTTGAATGTTGAGTTCCCATCTAAGCAACATTTGATGTGCTTGATCCTTTTCATCTGAGCAGTTCCTTCTACCAGACATGATTCAAACTGATTTATCAATAAATCAGAGCTTTGGGTAGGGTTTATTTACAGATATCTTAGGACACTTTGATAAAACCTGTGAGTTAATAAGGAGTTAGCACGAAATGAATGTTTATCTGCTGTGCTGGCACAGCTTTAATTTCCTCTCCATAGCTGACTCCCTCCTTGTGAGATGAGATCTGATCCCAGGGCACGAGCCAGAGAGGCTGGACTGCTGTCCTAGAAGTGTGATTATTCCCCAGATACACAACGAGCACATTTGCTCATTCCTTAGGAAATGAGTTTCCAAGAATAACTCAAGTCATCCTCAGCTGACAAAATCCTCAGCCCAGAGATGTTCTCCCGTTCTGCTTGAGGTTCAGCTGGATTTGGGCAGAGTGCAGCCAGACCTCAGCCCTGCTGTGCTCAGGCCCAGTGCTGTGATTGTGGTTTTCTTGAAGGATGAAGAAAGAAGAAGATGGTCTGACGATATATGGTGTGACTGAGAAGGACCAAGGGGACTACACCTGCGTGGCCAGCACAGAGCTGGACAAGGACTCAGCCAAGGCCTATCTCACCGTGCTGGGTAAAGCTGTCCTGAGCCCAGAGCTAAGGGTTTGGCTTCTAATAGAGCAGACCAACCTCAAGGTCAGGCTGAAAGGGTGATCTGTGCCCACCACACTGTCGTGTGAATGCTCAGGAGGTACTGGCAGAGCAGTTGTTCCCTTGCTGCAGGGCTGGGCAAGGACAAGCTGTCTCACCTCAAATGGCACTCAATGGGGAGGGCAAAGAAAGTTGTCTTTGAGACCAAACTAATGAGAAAGTAGTTGTTATGTACAGCCCAAAATCTATATCCCAAGGTGGATGTTGAAGCTCTGTGAGAACAGCTCTGAGCTGTAAGTGGATGTGAGGAGGTGTTGGGTGCTGAGGAACACTGGAAGTTGGGGCTGAGCCAACTGATCCTGCCCCTGTGTGTTCCCTGTGCAGTGCAGGGAGGGACAGAGCTGAGTCCACTCCTCATTTGTGCTCACTCTGAGATCTACTTGCAAAACACACATTTATCTTCCCCACCTCAGATTCCTGGGAATGCCACAACCTGCCAGTGCCACCAGCCAGACCCCAGTGCCCTACCCCAGCTGGAGTGCAATGTGCATCCCATATCCCTACTCATTTGATTTATATCCCTTCCTTTCCCCCTAATAGCTCATTAACTCCACATCAGGCTGATATTTCCCCTTTGCTATGTCCCACAAGTCTGATTAAAGTTGTGGGAGCATGGCTGGAGGTCCCTGGGGGAAGGATGTGCCCACTCTGCTCCCCAAACAGGATCAATTCCTTGTGAAATCTGTAACTGTGTGTGTAACTTTATATTTGCCAGGTGCTCCTTTGGCCACCCAAGCCCTAATGACTAAACTAACACCGTTAACAACCACTGTCTTACCTTGCAGCTGCCCCTGCTAACCGTGTGAGAGACTTACCCAAAGGTAATCATCACTAATTCATTGCCTTTCTTTTCTTTGCTAAGTTGGTTTTGGTTTGCCTCACCAAGAACTCCAGCAGAAATGTGAAACAGCTGAAAAAATTGGGGGCTGATGCTTCCAAATCCTCCCCAAGTTGTCCTTGAAGGAGCTGATGCTTCCAAGTCCTCACCAAGATGTCCTTGAAAACCCATCCAGATGACCATGGGTAGAAAGGTCTTGTGCCTCAACATTTTGTGTCCCAAAGTGCCAATTGCTGAGTGCAACCATCACTTTCCCTGGACATGGAAATGATGAACCTTGATGGGAAAACAAAAATCCCATTGAATCCCTTGACCTTTACCTGCAAAGGTGTTATCCCTGTTATTGGTTCTTGTCACCAGATAAAGAAACCAGAATTATGCCCAGGGAATTTCTAACCAGTTTGTGTTTTCCTTGAAGTTTTGTGTCCTTTCTATCCCATTTGTTTGCATTTCTGGTTTGGACAGCTGTGTGTCACATCACCAGATCAGGACAGGTAGGGTTTAAGGCAAGGCACAGTCAGAACTGCACACCAAGAGCTGCAGGACGTGGGTCATGCCCCAGAACACGTGTCCTCCTACGGGGCTGGGTGAAGATGGCCAGGGAGAAGTGATGGGAACTGACTCCATCTCCTGGGGCAAACCCATCTCCT